GTTACATGGCTCCAAAATCCCATCTTTTTATTGTTTCAGTAGCAACTCCTTTGGATGGACACAACATTTTCAACTTAGATTTTCCATTTTTGTGTTTTTTTGATTATAATGATGAAAATTAAATATGACATATAACAAATATACGGAAATAAGAGTCACATGTAAATAAAGAGATTTAAACCACTAATTTTTAATAAAATGCATGAATTTTGATCGATCAAAATAACCTTGTTGGTTAAATCAAATATTTAAAAAAGTGAAAAAAGGAAATTGGGGGAGACCCCACTCTGGGGAGACCCCAGCACCCCCAGTGGGTGTTGATTGGTCCAAATTTATTTATTTATTTATTTTCCTCTCTTTGACCCTCACATGTATGTGGAGGTGGTGGGGGTCACCCCCAACTGGGGTCTGCAGCAGTGTTGGAGAAAAAATTGACATATTTAAAACAGGAGGGATTCAAATCACCCAGAGCCCATTAAAAATGTCCTATTTTCATTTCCATTACTGACTTTGAAAGGTATTAAGGACTTTGGATGAGGTGACAAAGAGAGGAGAGGAATAGTCTCCCATAAAGACTTGGCTCATTAAAGATCACACAAAATTTAATCCTAAGACTCAATTTGGTTATGATGGAAATAGTAGAAAGTAAAAGAAATGAAAAAAATAAGTTTTTTTTTTTTTTATAAAGTTTTTTTTTTTAAGTTTGTTTAGTATGAAACTGGTGGAAGTTATAAGAGAATTAATTTTTTTGTACAACTCATAATAGCATGGTAACTAAACGTCCAATTTCTTACAAAAAATATAAAAAATACAAGAAAGTTTAAATTTATTATAAAAATAATTACTTAAAATTTTCTTCCTAATCAAATTCATATGAGAAAATATATTTTCTTTTCTTTTACTTTACTTTTTACTATTTTCACTTTTCATCATTTATTTCTTTCCAAATCAAACGAAACCTAATAGTTTATTAAAGTTAGAAAAATGATATACAAGTTCATTTCTTAAACTCATTTTTTAGAGCTAATAATGTATAAGTAAGATGATTGATTGATAATTAGAAAATGAGAGATTTATTAGAAAATCATTTTTCAAGTGTTTGTATCTTAATTAGTCTATAAGATATTTTTGTATTCTAATAAGTCCTATTATTTAAACATTTGATCTGCCAAATCATAATTCTCATATTTAAGATATTTTATGGACATTTTTACCCTTACAAATATTTTTTGAACAATTAGCAATTTGGTGATATGAACATTCATAATATTTTATAACGTGAATATTCACATTAACATGTGAATGTTCACATTGATAGTGTGAACATTCACATTGACAATATGAATATTCACATTGATATGTTAACATTCACATTGATGGTATGAACACTCACATCACGGAATATTCGCATTGTAAATGTGAATATTATTAAGGGTATTTTGGTAACTATGTCACCCATAAGACTTATTGGAATATAAGAAAATAATGTGAATCAAATGGACCGTAAGTAGGTGAAAATGGATTCATGAAAAAGTGCCCCCCTTAGAAAAGACTTAAATGAGAGAGCTGTTTTAAATATTCTAATAAATTATCTCATCATTGAATTTGAAAAATAAATTTTATTTTCAGATCTAAGTAGCATCACTTTTAAAATTATTAGAGACATATTTAAACTAATCGATAATGAGTAAAGTTGGTTCTAGACTTATATAAACTAATTTGACTGACCTAAAGAAGCAACGAGGGAGCAAAAATTTAGGTCCTGTTTGGCGAAGGACTTTTTGGTTAAAAATTAAAAAAAGTCACAAAAAAGTTCAAGAAGGTAACAAATTCAATTTTATTAGCAAAATGTCATATCATACGTATTAATCAATCATTTTTTCCTTTTATAGATATTTATTTAATTAAAAAAATCATTCCAAACATAATACTAACTTTTTTCACCCTATAAAAAAGCTAAAAAGGTAATTTCTGAAACTAAGCACTTGTACATATTAGTGTTTGATAACATAATTCAATATCTGAAACTAAATGTATCACGTGAAAATCAATTAGATCCATTTAATAACTACAATTTGCTTTATTTCAAAACTAAAGTAACTATTAAAATGTAAGTTAAAAGTTAAGGGCATCTCAAGTACCAAGATTCTTACTTAATATTAGTTGTACATATAACTGTTTATGCATAAGTATTAACGTAAACCGTTATAATCTCACTATTGTTGACATTACTGCTACTACTACTACTACTACTATCTCTACATCTCCACCACCTCCATTGCCACCACTATCACTAGCACCATCACTACCATCACAGCTCCACCACTTCCAACACTATTGCTACCATCGCCACAAGCACAATCATCATTTTTTTTTTTTTGGATCAACAAAACAAAGATTCATTGATATAAAAGAACAATACAAGATGTACAAACAAATTACATCAAGAAACACAAAAGGTCAAGACAACATGATAGCTTGAAAGCTATATCTCAACTAGGTTGAAACATGAAACAAAGCCAATCAAATGTAAAGTCAATGGCCAAGAATGAAGTAAAAATAAAAGAACACAGTAGATAAATCAAATTAGAATAGGGGCAAACCAAGCACTCCCTAAGCAAAAAGATGACAGACAAACACTACTCTTGAAAGTCAAGACCATGATTGGAGTGGATTTCATTTTTTGAAATACAACAATACTACAAACTCATCCTCATCAATTCAGAATTTGCTCAGGAAAAAAAAATTAATGGTTCAAATTTATTTTATCCATGAATATTGTATTAATTTAATTTCCACCACACAAATCTGTTCGCGATAAATTATGAATTTCTAAGTGTGAGTTGATAGTATTTTTCTTTGAAATATGCAATTCTCCAGCCACACTTTTAGAGACACACCGCTCCTTATTGGATCAAATAAGAGCTTCCCCTTGTACTTCCTCTTATCCTTCTGGAAAATGCCATTTCATTTACCTCCTCTTATAATAATCACCAACCAAAACACGAAGGGGGATGATAATCAGAAGCGACCTCACTACAACAGATACCACAACTCTCCACTTGCATCACCATCTTTATTGTTATCATAATTGTTGCTACTACACCACCACCATCACTACTATACCATCGCCACCACCATCAAACCACCACAAATACCATCACTACGTCCAATACACCACCTCTCCACTATCACTACAACCATTATCCCTTCACCTTGTATACTACCACCACCGTTACCATCATCATTGGCACCATAACAGCCACTATCATTGTCATTGTTGCCTCCGCCACCTCCACCTCACCATCATCACAATATATTCATATTGAAAGAGAAAATTTAAAAATACTTATAAATTTCAAATTTCATCTTATTTTAATTTCAACATTAATTTTTATCAAATAAATTTTCAATTCAATTAATTCAGCATTTAATTTTTAATTTTATCAAACACAAGTAACCTTCAAGATAGAATATTCAAAGGGAGTGGGAAAAGGTTCAAGTTTTTATTGTCACCAACAGCATCACACATTTATGTAGGTTGTTTCCAACTTATACAAAATAATAAGTTTGGGATGTGCCTAAAAGAGAATATTCAAAGGGAGTTGAAAAAGGTTCAAGTTTTCATTGTCAGCAACAGCATCACACAGTTATGTAGGTAGTTTCCAATTTATACAAAATAATAAGTTTGGGATGTGCCTAAAATTTATGTGTGATAGAGATTGAATGATGTGTTGTGGAGTCTATATGTAGAACCCTGCAAACGAGTCGAGCCGAACCAAATTTTAGTATGTTTACACTTAGGTCAAGTTTGGCATACTTGAAAAAAGACAAAAAGTCAAAAAATCACTATTTTATTTAAATCACATCATCTTATTTAAGTCACATTACCTCTCTAACACATCACTTCAAACTCAACCCAAACCCAACTCATATTTCATAAAAAGTCAAAAAGTGCACTTATTTAGATCATCCCAAACAACCCCTTATTTATTAAGATATTAACGAGTTTAATTTTGAATTCAATAAAAATTTAACGAACTGAGTTCGAGCCGAATTGACTTAGGCTTGACTCGAGTTCGAGCCTATTCACGTGCCATAACGAGCCAAAGAAATTATAAATTTATATTTACGTATGAGACTAAAATTACAATTGATACTTTGATTATACAATTATGTATACGATATATACAAACATACTAAAAAAAAAAAAAATCAATATCTTACCAAAATAATAATATGTACCACCACTATTATACAAATGTATTATCTATAGTTTGCTATTATTTACATATAAATAAATTTAGCTATTATTTACATTTACATTATTTAAATATATAAATAACATATTTATCCTATTTTTTTATACATATTTTTATATTATTTAATACATAAATAATATATTTATCCTATTATTTAAATAAATGTTAAACGACCTCAACTAATGAGCCGAGTTTTTGTATGTTTGGACTTATTTATTAAGATTTTAACGAGATCAAGCTCGGACACGAACATAATAAAAATTTAATGAATCCTGAATCGAACTCGAGTCTGTTTACGAACGGTTATGTTTATTTATAGTCCTAAAATAAATCCAAAATCGTCATTTATACTTTTAAGAAATTTTCTAAATAAAATTTTTTTAGTTGTATTTGTAGTATTATTACGCAAACAGCAGTGCTACAGAGCACTAGTAGAGCTGCTCTAAAAGCAGCTCTACTGAGGTGGCATCCCATTTAAAAAAAAAAAAATTAAAAAACAAGTAAAAGACAAAGCAAGAAGAAGAAAAAGATAAATTAATGCTCATCTAGAACTCTTTTTTAGAGGTCTAAATATTTTTGATTACGCAAAATAAGTGGTTCCCCACCTTGAAATAATTTTTTTTTGGAGAAAGACGTGAGGGAGTTTGAAAGAGTCAATGGGTATACATACATATTCATTCAACAAGACAGGGGAAGGAGAGTCTAAGGAGTCAATGGGTGAATGTCATTATTAGTGCTTGCTTTAGTCAGTGCAGAAGAAGGTGAGTACGAAACTTCATTGGAGTCTTTGGCGGGCCGACCATTCCAATCAACAACAATCAGGCCACTTGTCTCTACTTTCACCCCATTCTCTCTCTCTCTCTGCAAGTTCTCTCTCCTTTTAACAGTATTTCCAAGTCAATTGCCGTGTCAAGAAGCCAAACCAACATGATCAGCATCTGGAAAATTCTATGGTACTAGACTAGATGCTTAACAAATATTATACAAAGAGTCTTGATGGGTTTTCTTATTGTGTGCTAAATTGTGAATCTACAATGGTTGTTCCCTCCATTATGGCTTTCTTTGTCCTCTCTCACCTACTGTTTCTTCACTCTGCTGGAGAAGACAACACCTCATTCCAAAACTGTCCACAGTCCTTCCAGTGTGGAAAACTTGGGCAGATCAAGTTCCCTTACTCCAACATCACTTATCCCCAATGTGGGTTGTGCACTGTAAATTGCGGCGAAGCAATTCCAAAACTCAATTTCAGTGTGGACCAACCATGGTATGAAGTTCATGACAAGTTTCTTAATCATGAGGTCCAAAATGTTACTGACAAAAATCTTGAAAGCCTCATAAAATCCAAAAGCTGCGATGTCTTCACTTTCTACTTGCGCTGGAGTCTTCCCACTACACCTTCTGTTTCTTTTACAGTCTCCCCCAATCTCACCTTCTTCAAATGCCCTACCGGCGTCAACGGTAAACTTGAAAAGCAGATTGAGCATTTCTTTTGCCATAATCACAGTTACAGTTATTACAAAGACTGCTTAGGCTACACAATTTACTATAAAAACCCTGACGATCCTCCTCAATCTCTTCTTATTAATGAGAGAATTCTGCAAAGCTGTGGACATTTTCAACTGCCGGTGTTTTCGTTGAACGATGGCAAGAAGCGAAATGCCAGTGATCTGTTCTCTGTATTGGCTTCTGAGTTCTCACTCGGATTTCATGTGTCAAAGGAATGCGGTAAGTGTAACCTCACAGGAGGCCAATGTCCTCGATACAACAGCTCCAAGTTCCAATGCATTGAGCAGGCTGGCTTACCCAAAAAAAACATTGAGCAGGCAAAACACGGTATTGGAATTTCTCTGCTGCATAAAGCATACTCTTATTTCTGATTTAATCCAAAATCTTCAATCTGCAGAAGTCTGCTCCATAAGGATTTTGGTTCATTACCTCGGCGGGTTTTGATTAATTAAGCTCAAGCATTCAGAATACGCTTAGTAAATTACTATGAATTGTTGTATGTGCCAAATTCAAGTTGGATTATGCTTATTACTTGCTAGGTATCTTTGTTTTTGGGGGTAGGTAAGTGGGTTAGATGTACCAAAAAATATGCTTGATACACCACTATCGGGGACAAAAAAGATGTCTGAGCAAGCCATTAAAACAGAGCATTCAAAACCTAGCACTGAAAAAAACTCTCACAGCTTGAGAGCTAGGCCAAAGAAACAAACAACATGCAAAGTTAAGAGGGCAACGCCGTCTAATTATTTCATAGAAGGCATACAACTAGATTTCTTAGACTTGGTAGACAAATTAGCATTTTCTCTAGCAAGCTTAACCGATTCTCTCAAGGAGCTTCTTTTTGTTATCACCTCTTGAAGATGGGTTTGTCCATGGAACAATGAATGTTTCATTTGAAAGGGTCCGTGGAGCCCCTTTAAGATGTTAAGATCGACGAAGATCTAGCCCATTTTAATTACCCTATCTTCTTCAATTTCTCTCTCTTCGTTTGAAACCTTCCCATTTGGATTACCCTAATTTTGCATTTGTGTCTATATTGACCATGTTTGGTATTATTCGGATCTTTGTATGTAAGGGATTATTTTGGAGTTCCAGGGTTTGTGATCTAGAGAGCTTCTGTTCCAGGGTTTGCCCATGGACGCAGATGCAGACTTATATTACTGCATAAATCTTTTGTATGCTTGTGTGCTTGTTCTGTTTATTACTTCTCAATTTTTGATTCCGTCTTAACAAATTGCCTGATGTTTTTCTCCTTGGCCTTATTTACAGGAACAAATCATGTGAAATTGATTCTAGCAACAGGTAATATAACTCTGAGCAGTATCTATAAGCATGAATAAATTTAGATGCATCTATATTGCAAAAATACGTCAAATGTTATATTTTTCCCTTCTTTTTTCTTTTCATGTGCAATCTTCATTATGTACATGTTCTCCCATTTAAAAATTCATTACACCGTATTCTGTCAATCCTTTTTTATTTATTTATTTATTTATTGTTTGCATTCATGAATATGTACGAGTGAATCAAAACTAACCACACCTTTATTTTCTTCAGTATTACCGGGAGGCGGTGTATTTCTGCTTTGCTTGCTCATAGTTATTACCTGGCTTCGCAAGGAATGGAATTATAATTCCTCATACATCTCTTCAAGGGACAATTTTTCTAATCGTTCCCTGCAAGCAGACACTGAAGGATGTAATGTCTACTTTGGGGTTTCTGTTTTCTCCTACACTGAACTTAATGAAGCCACGCATAACTTTGATCCTACTAAAGAATTGGGAGATGGAGGTTTTGGCACTGTATACCATGGTAAGATGGTTCGAAGTTCTAAATATCAATTAGAATGCTAAGACTCTGTATCTTGAATTTGTGGAAATTGAAGAAAAGAAAAAGGAGGCTTGTTTACCATTAACATAAATGTTTGCATAAATGTTTTACTATTAACATATTTATAGTGGCATATTCTCTATCCATACAATTCACATTTCTCTTTTTTTCTTTATTTATACAAATTCAAAATCTAAACATAACAAAAATGTTTTTACCATTAACATATTTATGGTGACATATTCAATTTTCCTATAATTCATACATATAAAATGGCATAATCTTTGGTCTTTTCTCAACCAGGAAAACTCCAGGATGGGCGGGAAGTTGCAGTGAAGCGCCTGTATGAGCACAACTACAAGCGGGTGAGGCAGTTCATGAATGAAATCCAAATACTAACCTCCTTGAGCCACCCCAATCTTGTCACCCTTTATGGTTGCACCTCACGCCTGAGCCGGGAACTGCTTCTCGTCTACGAGTATATTCCCAATGGTACCGTTGCTGATCATCTACACGGTGATCGAGCAAATGCTGGTTCACTCACATGGCCTATTCGTATGAACATAGCCATAGAAACTGCCAGTGCATTGGCTTACCTCCATGCTTCTGATATCATCCACCGTGATATCAAGACCAACAACATACTCCTCGACAATAATTTTTGTGTCAAAGTTGCTGATTTTGGGCTTTCAAGACTCTTCCCCAATGATGTCACTCATGTCTCAACAGCCCCCCAAGGGACTCCTGGTTATGTTGATCCAGAGTACCACCAATGCTACCAACTCACTGATAAGAGTGATGTCTACAGCTTTGGGGTTGTGCTCGTTGAGCTCATATCATCAATGCCGGCCGTCGACATTACTAGGCATAAGCAAGATATTAATTTGTCTAACTTAGCGATAAACAGGATCCAAAATCGTACCCTGGATGAGTTAGTTGACCCAACACTTGGGTTTAAGTCAGATTCTTCAATTGAAAGGATGATTACATCGGTGGCAGAGGTGGCTTTTAGATGCTTGCAACTTGAAAAGGAAATGAGGCCTACAATGGATGAGGTTCTGGAAGCTTTAAAGGATATTAAACAGTACAAAAATGAGAACACCGGGGAGGGAATTGACAATGTTGGGGTGTCGACAAGTGCACGATCACCTTCTTCGCCTCAGAGTGACAATGTTGTGTTGTTGAAGAAAATAAAGTCACTATCTTCACCGGATTCCGTGACCAACAGATGGGTTAGTAGCTCTACCACATCCATTTCCAGTGGGTAAGGCTCCATTTCACTCTCCTAAACTTCAAGATAGATGATAAGAAAACGCATTTAACAACCATGTCGTTTGCAAGCGAATGATTTTTGAATTTCTTTTCCTTTTCATCTATATATCAGATAATTATATTGAAGGAGGAATGTATATAGTAAATGGAGATCTCAATTATGTATATGTTCATATTTGGATATACTTGAAGTATATAGTAAATGGAGCTATACTTTCCTAGGAATTATATGATCTTTTTCTTTTCTTTTCTTTTTTTCTTATGGACAAAGAGAAATGGATGAATAAAAGAAGAAAAATACTAAATTTCAAATACCACATGCTTCAAAATGGTTCAGTAGAAGATATCTTAAATGAAAATCAGATACATTTCTTTCCTTAAACTAACAATAACTGAAATTTTGGGGAAGTATGTAGGATGTATTTTTTACTTAATGAGATTTCATTTTGGGTAACCTGTTTAACTTTATCAGATTAAAACATAGAAAAATAAAATGATTGTCTAAAACAGGGGATTACTTTTTCTTTATTTCTTCGGAAATTGCTGCCGGTGTTTACGCAATTCCAGTTGAGAAGTATTGGAAGTGGCTTCTAGACTGCCATGGTTTCACTGTTACCATGGGTTCAATTGGAATTTGCTACATGAGAAAATCTTTAAGACATTTTGGAATTACAAATGCTTAGGCCTTGTTTGACAAAGGATTTTTTGGTTAAAAATTAAAAAAAGTCAGAAAAAAGTTTTAAAAGGTAACAAATTCAATCTTATTAGCAAAATGTCATATTACACATATCAATCAATCACTTTTTTCTCTTTTAAATATATATTTAATTGAAAAATCATTTCAAACATATTACTAACTTTTTTCACCCTATAAAAAAGCCAGAAATAATCTCACTAGTGTTTGATAACATAACTACAAATATAATTTTGTATCAAGTGCTTAATAAATATAATTTTCGAAACAAGTACTTAATAAGTGTACATATTAGTGTTTGATAACATAATATCTGAAACTAAATGTATCAAGTAAAAATCAATTAGATCCATTTGATAACTACAATTTCCTTCATTTCAAAACTAAAGTGGCTATTAAAATGTGAGTTAAAAGTTAAGAACATCTCAAGTACTAATATTCTAATATTAGTTGTATTTATAACTCTGTATGCATAAGTATCAAACCATAATAATCTCACTACCGTTGCCATTACCACTACTACTATCCCCACATCTCCTCCACCTCCATTGCCACCACTATCACTAGCACCATCACTACCATCATGGCTCTACCACTTCTAACACTATGGTCATGTTTGATTTACAAGATTAATAGTGAAGTATTAATGATCCTATTAAATTAGTGTGGTATTCGCTATCCAATTGGATTAATATCCATTGGATTAATAATCTCACCCCTACCCCATTACGAATAATACTACAAATTTGTTGGATTAATAATTCTAAACCAAAATGTTAAAACAAACATAGGATAATTGGGCCTACGGATTAATAATCTCAATCCCAATCCCATGCTCTAATCCACCAGATCAAACATGCCCTATAGTTATTATCGCCACAACCACTATCATCATTTTTTTTTGGATCAACCAAAATAAAGATTCATTGATATAAAAAAACAGTACAAGATGTACAAACAAATTACATCAAGAAAACACAAAAGGCCAAGACAAAACATCATAGCTTAAAAGCCATATCTCAACTAGGTTGAAACATGAAACAAAGCCAATCAAATGTAAAGTTAATGGCCAGGAATGAAGTAAAAATAAAAAAACACACTAGATAAATCAAATCAAAACAGGGGCAAACCAAACACTCCCTAAGCAAAAAGATGGCAGACAAACACTATCTTGAAAGTCAAGACCATGATTGCAGTGCATTCCATTATTTGAAATACCATAACACTATAAATTCATCCTTATCAATTCAGAATTTACTCAGAAAAAGAAATCAATTGTTTAAATTCATTTTTCTCATAGACCCATATTTTATCAATTTAATCTCTACAACACAAATCTATTGAGGATAAATTATGAATTTTTAAGTGTGAGTTAATAGTATTTTTCTTTGAAATATGTAACTCTCCGGCCACACTTCTAGAGACACACCACTCCTTGTTGGATCAAATAGGAGCTTCCCCTTGTACTCCCTCTTGTCCTTCTTGAAAATGCCATTTCATTTACCTCTTCTTCTTATAATAATCACCAACCAAAACACAAAGGGAATGATAATTAGAGGAGACCTCACCATAACAGATGTCACCCCTACCACTACCACAACTCTCCACTTGCATCACCATCTTTATTGCTACCATAATTGTCGCTTCAATCACCACCATCACTACTACACCACCGCCACCACCATCAAATCACCACGAATACCATCACTACGTCCACTACACCACCTCTCCACTATCACCACAACCATTATCCCTCTGCATTGTACACCACCACTACCGTCACCATCATCATTAGCACCATAACCACCACTGTCATTGTCATTGTCGCCTACACCACCTCCACCTCACCATCATCACAATCACTACAACGAATTACACTTCTGGCGACTAAAATTCAGTTGCCAAAAGTCACACTTTAGTCACCAAAAACTTTTACCGACTAAAATGTTTGGTCACCAGATTGGTCGTTGAATAATTGTCGGGAAAGATAATTGATGACTAAAAATGGTTTAGTCGCCGAAAGTCCTCCATTGGCAACTAATTTTTTAGTTACCGAAAGCTTTCAAATAAATTTAATATTGCATTTTCAACAGCTAAATTTTTTTGTCGCCAAAAACTTCAATTATTTAGCTACTAAAAATTTTAGTCGCCAAAATATTTTTTTCGTTCATCTTATTTCTTTTTAGCTACTAAATTTTTAGTTGCCTAAAGTCTAATTTTTTTAACCACTAAATATTTTAGTCACCAAGCCTTTTTTAACTACTAAAAGTTTTAGTCGCCTAAAATCTAATTTTGTTTTTTAGCTACTAAATTTTTAGTCGCCTAAAGTTTAATTTTTTTTGGCTACTAAATATTTAGTCTCCAATTTTTTACTTTTTATTTTTGTTTTTTGTGTTTGTAGCTACTAAAATGTTAATCTTCTAAAGATTTGTTTTTAGTCACCAAAAGATTTGTTTTCATTTTAATTTTTTTAGCTACCAATTGTTTGGTTGCCAAAAACATCATTTTATGTTTTTTTTAAAAAAAATTAATTTATCCACAACCTGTATGTATTCTGTGCAACTTATACCATGTATATAAACAAAACAATACATATATTATCAATCATTCGACAATCTACATCCATTTCACTTCCTTCCATCCAAAAATGAATAACTTTTAATGTCAAATTCCATATAAACCAAGTATATTCCAACCTACAATAATAATTCTATACAAAACAAAGAATCATACGAAAATCACGTTTTCTGTACACAAAAAATATATTCACTACCACGCCAAATAGCCATTTGGCGTGGTACAAATTACCATGGTAATTTGTACCACAACAAACGGTAATCTATATATAGTACACCAATTATATACCAAGCCAAAAATGATCTGTACGATTAAATACTAATCCACACAAAAGCAGAGGACGACAAAAGAGGCTAATTATACAAAAGTATAAATTGTCCTCTGTACACAAAAATGGAATATCCAAAAATCCATTAGAGGTCATGGTGAGTAAATTAAAAATGGAATACCAAAAATGCATGTAGAACTTGATACTCTTAGGCAAAAACATTAGAGGTCATGGTGAGTAAATTAAATTGTTCATCTTCTTTAGTACTTTTTCCATTATACTCTCAGACATGATTGAAGTGTTAACTAAAAGATCTAAATCACTAAATACCAGTGAATACACAGTGAAACAACTAATTCTAGATTTAGAGTTTTGTTTATGTATATGATGAGTGAATGAAATCGGACTTGACTTGAAGAATGCAAAATGCCATAAAAATTACAACCATTGAGATCCCAAAACACAAATAAACTCACTCGTATGAACATCCAAAAAAACACACTTAAACCATTACAAGTGTTCATAGTACCGGACCCAAAATGCACAAATGTAAGGCAATGTTTACAACTATAGATGTGAAGTTTAAGGTGTTTTTGCCCTCTGAACGCCAGTTTTTGACTAATTTTAAGGCTTTTTTGACTCTAATTCCCAACTTATGTGGGCTAATTATGTCTCGTCTGTCCCCATAGGTCCTATTTGTCACGAGAAAGCTGCCCGTGACATTCGTATAGTGGTACGGGCGCTGTTTTGCATTTTCGCCCCCCAAACGCCCTTTTTCGACTAAGTATAAGGCGTTTTCGACTCTAACTCCCAACTTACGTGTTCTAACTACATGCTGTCTGTCCCCACATGTCCTATTTATCACAAGGAAGCTGCCTGCGACATCTATAGAGTGATTTGGGGACTTTTGTGCATTTTGCACCCTCCGAATGCCCTTTTTGATTAAGTTTAAGGTGTTTTCAACTCTAACTCCCAACCTACGTGTGCTAACTACATGCCGTCTGTCCCCATAGGTCCTATTTGTCACAGGGAAGCTGCCCATAACATCCATAGAGTGGTTTAGGGACTGTTTTGCATTTTTGCCCCCCTAATACCCTTTTTCGACTAAGTATGAGGCGTTTTCGACTTTAACTCCCACTTTACATGTGCTAACTACATGATGTCTGTCCCCACAGGTCCTATTTGTCACAAGGAAGCTACCCATGATATCCATAGAGTGGTTTGGGGGATGTTTTGCATTTTTACCCTCTGAACGCCCTTTTTCGATTAAGTTTAAGGCGTTTTCGACTCTAACTTTCAACTTACGCGTGCTAACTACATGCCGTCTATCCCCACAAGTCCTATTTGTCACAAGGAAGTTTCCCGTGACATCCATAGAGTGGTTCGTGGCTGCTTTGCATTTTCATCCACTGAACGCCCATTTTCGACTAGTTTTAAGGTTTTTCCGACTCTAATTTCGAACTTATGTGTGCTAATTATGTCCCGTCTGTCCCCATAGGTCCTATTTGTCACGAGAAAACTTCCTGTGACATCCGTATAGTGGTTCGGGGGCTGTTTGTATTTTCATCCCCCGAACGTCCTTTTCAACTAAGTATAAAGCATTTTTTACTCTAACTCTCAACCTACGTGTGCTAACTACATGTCGTCTATCCCCGCAGGTCCTATTTGTCGCGAAAGCTTGCCATGACATCTATAGAGTGGTTCAAGGGCTTTTTGCATTTTCACCCCCCGAATGCCCTTTCATTTGTCCTATATCTAATTAGTGTTAAAATGATTGTTTAACATAAGAGTATAAGAGCCCTAACTATATGCATTCCAGTACATGTTTTCCCAAAACCTAGTGCCTTCTTTCCCCTTTCTTAAAAGTCAACAAGAAAGTTATAACTAAAGGACAAGCTAATGGTGTTACCCTCACCTCTTAGCTTGAGAGGGGATGATAAAGAGTATTAATCATTAGTAGTCTCAGTAGAGAAGTTAGTTGCTTCAACATACTACACCTCTCAAGTGGCATTTGCATAGTGTTTTTTTTTTTTTTGATAAATACACGTGCAATGTTACATGTTCAAGAAAGTAACTAAGAATGTTGTTTATAATCATTAATGTCATAGGTCCTAGGATAAAATTTCAAAGGAATTCAAAGATCTAGTGGTCGGAATAATTCTTTGAAAGATCAAATTATCCCAAACCATATGACACAATCACAGAGATGTCAAAGAAAAAAAACCAAAATAAAATGGAAAAAGTATAGCATCAACTTATTTTGCAAACTCACCCCAAACAATAAATTATAAAAGGCCATATAAATGCATTACCACATAAGAATCCAAGAGTGGTGGATAGTTCCCATCAATAGTGTTTATCCAGCTAAATATCAGGTTATGAAAACCAAAAGGCTGGCTGGACATGCTTAGTGCATACTCCCAAGAAGGAGTCTCGTTAAATTTGGCCCGGAGATCAGGATGCAAAGGAAGCAACGCAATATGTGCACTGCTATCATCTTCAGTGAACAACCATTCATTCCATGGCAAAATATCTTGTCCCTGAAAAATTGAGAAAAAATTTCCTTAAAATAATTGTGCAAACAGTTTGTAAAATGAGTTTCTAGTAGTAGTTTTCAATTTTTTTTTTTTTTTTAATTTTAAACTGAAACCACTGGTAATTCATTTATTTAGAAGAAACTATATGACATAGCCTATTCCATTGCAAATCTTGAAATTATCCATTCCTAAAATTTGAAATCAGACATGATATTTCTTTTTTATGGTTAACATCTATGTCACACATCCATATTGTAATGACTGGCAATATATTTGAGTTAAAAACTCCTCCAAATTCCATATCTCAACTCCATGGTTGTAATACAACAAGGCAATAAGTTAAACATTGCCATCGAAGCTAACCCGTCATGGAGCAAACCACAAGCATAAAAATTAATAGTGCTGAAATATATAAGAATATAATTAGTAACAATAGAAATTCAAATATAATTTTATTAAGATCGTAAAACCACCACTAAGGAAGCATGTTAAGCATTATGTGCTGAGTTACATCTCTATGACATAAAACTTGGATTCCTTTTAACATGGGTTCTTACTTTTAAATGGTGATTTATCATGCTCTGTTAAACTAACTTGATAGAAGATCCACTGAAAATTTCCACATTTAAGCACTTAATGGTGTTATCAAATGAGCCAAATGTTAAAATTAATTCTTTAAGGGGCACACTTCGCAATAACTGAAAGACTCAGATTCGAAAATGTTTATACTAACCAATTTCCATTCCTGAATAACGAAACAAACATGCAAACAAGTCTAAGGGAAAACATGAATTGTCAAGAAGAAAATCGAAATCTAAACAAACATGCAAACAAGTCGGGAAAACATGAATTGTCAGGAAGAAAATCGAAATCTAAACAATAACAAAACCTTCTAACGAGTCATTCCAAGAAAGCCAACAAAAACCTCAAATTCAGCATGCTTGAAAATTGAGACTCACATAAACCAAATTTCCCAACATCTCAACACAATCAACCGAAAAATTCAAACAACTAACCAATATATAGCCCAAATCAATTTTGTTTATGCTCACCACAAACATACAGAGAAACCCATTTTAGAAATTCTACCAAAAGAAAGACAAAAAGGCCCAAGCACGAGATGCAAGCAGTATAACACCAATCTGTAGGTACCCAATACTCCAAAAGTGTAAATGATCTTAGCCATGTATCATTTTAACCACTAAAACTTGATTGGGTCATGAACAAAAAAAGTCACAACAACAACGAAATCACGCAGCAAATTCAACAACAAAAAAAATCTGTCCAGACACCCAATAATCCAAACTGCCAAGAGATTAACTGAATTTTTTTTTTTAAAAAAAAAAAACTCCATATTCAATCACAAGTCCCTGAACAATCTAAAATTCAAACTGAGGCATTAACTTTGAACAACATCAATATGTAGATACCCAAAAACTTCAATTCAAGCAGAAAGCTCAATAATTGCTACGACCCAATCTCGGCAAGGCAACCCCTGCCAAGAGGGCGCACTTCAACGCTATAACACCTGTACACAATAATCACCAGCATAATTCTTATATCACATCACCAATAGTGCATAAGACCCTTCGATTGGCCAACATATATGAGATGATCCATTCAAAGACAAAAATATCATCATGCTACTAAGATAGTTTCCATGCACCACTACCCCCAAAATAAATCATACTATTCGTGAATCCATCAATACATCCAACTTCACAAAGCAAATATTTACAATCAACCTACTTCATAAAACAAAGGATAAAACTACATCCTAGAGTGAGCCTAATCAAAACCTCAACTACTAGATGTTCACATTTGATCCTCCAGAAACTCTAATCTTCCAAGTTGAGGCGAGCCACACAAAAGTCTAGAAATCTGAAAAAAAATTAATTAAAAAAAGAATGAGCTAGAGCCCAATGAGTATACCAATCCCATGGAGTTATAAAGCTTGCTCCTTCCAATTGGGTTCAAAATAAGATAATAAACACAAGAGCTTGATTGGACTGAAATTTATAAAAATTGAGAAAATTTTGCACAAACCGTTATCAAGATTTTTCCAAAGAATCTCGTAATGCAGGAAAAATACATTTGAATGAGGAAAGTAAACAAAAATACAACTTTTCAATACATTAAGATTTCATGTCCATCATACGAATCACTACATAGCCTTAGAGTCGCGTTACCTCGCGACTTAGGTGGTGACGGTACCGTTACCCAAAACATAACCATAGGAACATAACTCATGTCATCGTAGCACTTTAATTCTCATTTCAATGTTTTGGTCCCTAGGACTCCTTATGTACAACGACCCTTATGGTCCTTAAAACATTTCGGTACCCAGGACCCCAAAGCATTTCAGCCATTGTGGCCCCAAAGGCTATATTCGGTTATATGATCAATAAAAATAAATACTCTTGCATGACGTTTCATTGTCCTTTGATCATCATCATCATAAACTTTGAAGGACTCAACTTGAATACATTCTCATAAAAAAATTAGTGCTTCATTATACAAATAAAATCATATATTTATTTAAACTCACCATTTGACCTCAATAAATTTATAGATTTTCTTCTTATACATATATCATGATGAAATGTGTTACTTCCTTTGATTCAAAAATATTTTCAAACTTTGTATTAAAGATAGAGATAAGGTAAATTTCCATGGTAAGTATAGTCACCTCCAAAATAGCAAAAGCGTAGATTTGAAACTCTACGAATTAATTCCCAAGACGTGTAGACGCCTTCCTCCAATCCTAACAATTAGTAAATAGGATCTAAAATTAAGGAAAAACTTTCAATGAAAATTACAACATCTACAAAATTGATCCTAAATAAGATATGCTATGGAATGACAAGCTAAAGAACTCCTCCAACTTCAAGTCACCCAAACAAACTTCTTATCCAATCTCCACAACACCCATCCTTTGTACATTTTTTGAGTTATTAACCTTTTTAAATATCCAACCAATTTATATGCACAATACCACCATCAATTAAACCACAAAAGTCAAAAATCAACATTTTCATAAACTCAACAACTTAGGTAAAACCACTTCAATCATTAATAAAATTCCTCCAAAATCGTTTATAGAACATAGAGGTACCCAATCCACCATTTATCAAATCAATTTCAACATGTAAATTTCCTAACCCCAAAATCCCCAAATTTTACATCACATTCAAACCTAGATTAACCCAAATCTCAATCTCCAAAACAACCATCAAATTGATCATTAAACCAATAATTTCATGAATATAATAATTCCAACACTCTTCTTTCTTTGTTTTATAAAACACAAATTAAAGCTATAAAGCCCTTTCAAAAATATTTACATGTAAGAAATTTAAATCAAAATCAAACTAATTTTTTATTCTCAAATATAAATTATAATTTATTCCCAAATTGTCCAAATTTCGATTTAATTCATTTTCTTTACATCAAACCCACAAATCTTTAAAATATGAATTAAACTTTCAAAATTCTTGAAAACTTCATGATGTATGTAAAAATAGAACCCAATTTCATTATCAATAGCAAAAATCAAACTTAACTATGAATTACACAAATCAATTTCTTAGAAATTCAACTTAACTCAATTCTTAATCAAAAACTTAATTTATGATCATAGATGTTCCAAAATGTGTTCAAATTGAATAAAACTTTTAAATTCAATTACATGCATGGATTAAATAAATTCCTAGTTTTCATAATAAAATCAAAACTTCCTTTAATTCCAAAATCCACTCTCAAATTTCATGAACTCATGATTTTTATAACTTTTTCTTCAAAGTCATTTATATACTCCATTGCATGGATCCAATCTTCAAACATTTCTTGTTGCATGTAATTTATAGAACTCAATTTACGAATGATTCTCAAAATTGAACCCAAATTTAACAAATTTAAGGAATCATAACTCATATTCTTCAATCTAACTTGATTTTAGATGCAAAACCCAATTCGTATCAATTTATATAATTAATCTTCAAATCTTCATTTTTAATCCTCTCAAAATCCATCTTGAATCAATTTATGTCTAGATTATTTAAACTATACTAGAAAGAGGATGAAATTTCTTACCTTAAAGATGATTTTTCCACAATTTTTTGGCTTGAATTTTGGTATCCCACAAAACCCTCTTCTCCTTTGTTCTTCCTTCAATTCTCAAGCCTTGAGTTCCTTCATCTCTCTCTCTCTCTCTCTTTCTCTCGGCCTTTCTCTCAAGACGGCTCAATTTCTCTCTTTCTCAATGTTAAAGACTGAATTCAATGGGCTCTATCTAATACAACGTACATACAATGAATAGACACACACGATAGTACCGATCTTTGCAAAGCTACTCAGGGCTTCGGATTTACTACGATCAAAGATTCTCGGATCGTCTAATCGGGAAGCTTCAACCAGAGGAAGACTAGGCTCATTCCGCTGAGCGATGTCAAAGGCTTCATGATCGATCTTCTCCGACGATGCTGATCTTGCTTCACGCACCCTCTCTTGCTCGTTAAAGGAAGACTAGGCTCTATCTCTCTCTTGCCATTGCTCAAGGCTGAGAAGCTTTTGTTCATGATTGTTGGCTGTTGCGCCCCACCCAGATTGTTTAGGTTGAAGCTTCCATATAGAGAGGTAGCTGTACACATCTTGTAGCTGTACACATCTTCTCTAAGCTCCCATTTGGCATGAACTGATACACTAAAGGTTTGAAAAATCGATTCTTTGCTGTCTTGCCTTCAACCTGCTCGACAAAATGCCTAAGTGAGCTTCTGTCACTGAGAAGTCACAAGATGATTAAGGAGAAAGAGAGAGAGAGACAGAGGGACAAAGAGAGAGACAGAGAGGGCAGCAAGCTATCAATGAAGAAGGGCAAACTAGCTAAGAGCAAATTAGCCAAGCGTAAATCAAAATGCAAATCTGCGAAGTGCAAAGCAACCAAGGTCTCCTTTAAGGAGTTTGATAATCAGGGGGATGCTCAAATATCTACCGATGAGATGCCTGATGTACTCCCCCGCAGGTCTACACGTATCCGAGTAGCCCCCAAATCTCTCATATTTGGAGATTTTGTAGGACCATGGCAAAGGCTCTCGAATGAAAACAAAAGGGGATTAAGGTATATGGAATCGGAGGATAGCTCAATCGAGTGTGATTGTGTCGGTCTATGTTTGTGTGGAAATCTTGGTACACCACGGTTACAAATGAATGTGGAAATGCAAGCCTCAACTGAGCAATCATCAAAGCAACACCAAATACCTAATGCATGGAACACACCAACTAGAGTGCTAACTGATCTTGAGCAGTGGCCAAAATTGGCCATTGTTTCCCCACTGGCGGCAAATGAAAAGATAATGTCAAAGAAACTTGGCTCACCCAATGCTGACTAAAAGAGAGAAGTAATTGATACCAAGCAACGGAAGAGTGTTGAAAATGTGCGAGCTTGTAGTAATGAAGATTTAGCCGAACTACATATGGAAGACACACAATATGGCAAGGATGAATGTCTTGATGGTGATACAACTGCTATATTAGGTAAGCCTCTACAAGCTTGGAGCTCTTTACTTAAAGAAGAGATTAACAAGGTGTCAAAAATGAAGTATAAAATAGGTGCCCATAAGATTGAGAACCTAGTAGATGGCATGTACAATGTCCCTATAGAGATCTCAAAAAAAGGCTTTTCTCATTGGGAAAATGCCTTGGTTGGATACTTTATTGATAAAAGATTCTCTTTCCATTATGTGAAAACTTGGGCAGAGAAACTTTGGGGAAATTTGCTTGAGGATGTTATCTCCATTGATCATGGGTTTTTTATTTTTAAAGTAAAAAGTGAAGAGGCTATAGACAAAATTTTGGAAGATGGCCCCTATTACGTTGGGGCCAAATTGATTGTTGTTAAAAAATGGCAACCTGGACTAAAACTAACAAAGTGTGAATTTTTGAGTGTGCCGTTTTGGGTGAAGTTGTATAATGTTCCTCTGGAGCTTTGGACTGAAGAAGGTTTGGGTTACATTGCTAGCATCATGGGAACTCCTCTTCATTTGGATGAGCCTACGTTCAAGAGAAGCAGACTTACGTTTGCGAGAATATGTATTGAAGTGCCAGCAAATGAAGAGATCCCTAAGTCTTTCAAAATAAATCTTGGTTATGGTGACCCATATGAGATTCAAGTTGAGGTTCCATGGAAGCCTCAAAGGTGTGATGGTTGTAAGACTTTTGGTCATACCACTAATTTGTGTCCTCAGAAGTCAAAGACCTTGAACCCTCCATCTTCCAAACAAGAATGGAGAGTCAAGGAGACTAACATACAAGTTCCAACCAAATGGGAAGTGGTGAAGAAAAAAGGGAGAGATGGTGGGCAAGGTTCAACGACAGTGATAAACAAAGAGGCAGAGACGCAGTGTTTCACCCCATCAACATCTAATGCTTTTGATGTCCTTGAATCATGTGATATGGGAGAGTTGGGAAATGGAGAATTAAATCAAGAGTTGTTGTGTCAAACAAAGAGCCTACAAAGTAGAGGGAGTCCATCTCCAAGTGATCCCATTAATGAGGAGACTACAAAGGAGGATAACAGAAGAAAACTCAAAGCGAAACTTCATTACTTAAAGAGTGCTAGAGGGAAATTTTGAATCCTTTGTTGTGTTTGGTGTTTTTGTCGTCTATAGGCTTAGTTTGTTTCTTTTGAGGGAGTAGTTTATTTCTATGTTTATGTTTGTTCTCCCTACAAAGGATGTGTATTGAATTTCATTGTATATCTATCTTTTTTGGTTATAATATAACTTACTTATCCAAAAAAAAAAAAAAAAAAAATAGACACACACACAGCCTTCTTTTCACACCCAGATTTTCTTAACACACATACTCGCATAACACCCAATTCTAGATTATTCTACAATTTAGGGGTGGTTTGGGATGTCTTGAGTTTGAAGTGATGTAATAGAGAGGTGATATGACTTAAATAAGATGATGTGACTTAAATAGGATAGTGACTTTTTGACTTTTTAGATTTTTTAGTTGATGCCAAACCAGGCCTTAATGTACGATCAAAATTAATTTAATTAAGCAACCCTTAGACTTAATAAATCTTAACACATGATTTAATTAATCTAATTTGACTTCTTTTAGAGCCCAATTAATTATATTAAAATTTATTAATCTGAATCAAATTTTTTTAATCAAACTCCAAAAGGCTCCAAATATTAAATTAAACTTATTGTCATCATTAATTTTGATTTCTCAAACCATTTAGGCCTTCAATTTCTAATCAGACTCTAAATTTTCGTGAATAAATTACATATTCAAATTGGACACCCCATAAATAAATTTAATTCGTAATAATCACAATTCTCAATCCTCATAATTTAATTAACTTAATAACTCCAATTAATCCTCATAATTTAATAATCACAACTAACTGAATCGAATATTTAATTAAACTTCCAAATGGGTCCGTAATTAAAAATTAAATTGATTCAACTTCTTAATTTCACGTCCTTAAGCCATTTGGACCCTTAATTTCTAATTTCAAAATAAATCTTTAATAGAATCATATACGAATCAGATTCCACAATTCTCATAAATCCCAAATAAAATTAGGATAACGACTAATTAAAATTTCAAATCTCCTTAATTAACCAAATATAAAATATTATATGTGGCGGGGTCGTCACAATAATGGATGATATAATATAAAATAATAAAATTGCCCCCTCTCTACTGGCTTAAACTTTTAGCTGAGTTGATGGTCAATAATTCAATATGCTATGAGAGTGAATATGGTATTAGAGTTACTACTAACAGATTATGTGTTCGAATTTCACCACCTATTCAATAATGAAAATAATTGTACGGACTTAGCTTGCTTACAAGTAGAATTCGGCCACACATGAAAGGACATGTCTAGGTTATAATATAAATAATAAAAATTATATCTCTCTAACAGCTTAATTAACCTTGTAGATAAGCCGGTAATCAACAATTCAATAAGTAAAAATGGCACATACCTACATACCCAATCCTCAAATTTTTGACAAAATTGAAACTAAATCAGCACTAAATAAACTAAACGACACAAAAAACCCAAAAGGGTATTGACCTTAACATGAAGAGTGCCTCCACCAAATTCTATGCGGCTTTTGTTGTGGAACTCCATCCAAGCCCGATTCTTGTAGAAGCAAGCCCCTTTCCACTCCAAGCTGTCATCTAGGGATGAAACAAGAGAATTCAGAATAGGCCACGAGACCGATCTTGGCAACACTGGTAATCTGGACTGTGGCTAAAAAAAAAACCCCCCAAAATTACAAAACTTCCAAATACTACAAATAAATATTGAATTATTGCTTAGTAATCTGGATTGGCGAGAAGAATAACTATGTATTATCTAGAAGAAGAAAAAAACCCATAAAAGATTATCAAAACATGCTGGTTGGGGCTATTCTTCAATTATCTAGCTAAATCTTGAATCTGGAACAAGAGTGAAATGGGGAAATCTTGATTCGGGATAAAAAACCCCCCAATAAATTACATGTTCCTTCAATCATTTTATAGAAACCCATTTCAATCATCGGTTCATTGATTTCACATAAATCAAAACCCTACACCATAAAAAAGTAAACCCTAGAGGTAGAGTGAAATGGGGAAATAGAGAAAGGGAGACAGAAAAACAGAGCCCGAGAGGGAGAGAGATAGAGAGAGGGACAGAAAAACCCCAAAAAAATTTCTATCATGGCCGACTAATCTAAATTTCAATCACCTATTGTAGCATTTTTGGTGACTAAAGGTATTTTAGTCACCGAAAATAAATATTCGCCGACTAAATTTTTGGTCACCAAAGATAAAAGCAAAATTTAAAATTTATTTAGCGATTAAATTATTTTAGTAGGCAAAAATTACTTTACAGCGACTAAAAATTTTTTGCTCACCGAAAATGATTATTTGGCGACCAAAGTTTTGGTCACCAAAGATTAATAATAAACATTATGCTAGCTTTTTTGTGGCAAAATTTATTTTAGCATGCAAAAACAGGTATACCGTGACTAAAAACAAACTTTAGTAGCCTAAAACATGAACTAATGCCGACTAAAACAATTTTTGGTCGCCTATTGTGACATATTTAGCAACTAAATTTTGTTTTAGTTGCCAATAATTAATATATAGTTATTAAAACAATTTAGTACGCAGATTAATTTAATTTTTAGTCAACTATTCTACAACTTTTGGCTACTAAATTTTCCTTTAGTTGCCAAATTTGATCACAAAAGTGTAAATTGTTGTAGTAAATATATTCATATTGAAAGGGAAAATTTAAAAATACTAATAAATTTCAAATTTCATCTTATTTTAATTTCAACATTAATTTTTATCAAATAATTTTTCAATTCAATTAGTTCAGTATTTAATTTTTAATTTTATCAAACACAACTAACCTTCAAGGTAGAATATTCAAAGGGAGTAGAAAAAGTTCGAGTTTTCATTGTCACCAACAGTTTCACACATTTATGTAGGTAGTTTCCAACTTATACAAAATATTAAGCTTGGGATGTGCCTAAAATTTGTGTGCGATAGAGATTGATGCGTTGTAGAGTCTATATGTAGAATAGGGCTATAAATGAGTCGAGTCAAGCCCAACGTTAGTATATTTGAACTTATTTATTAAGATTTTAACGAGTTTAAGTTCGACTTAATAAAAATTTAACAACTAAACTCAAACTATTCACGTGCCATATCGAGCCAAAGAAAGTATAAATTTATAATACGTATGAGACTAAAATTAGAATTGATACTTTGATTATATAATTATATATATGATATCTATAAACATAACAGAAAAAAGTCAATAGCTTACCAAAATAATAATATCTACCGCACTAGTATATAAATGTATTATCCATAGTTAGTTATTATTTACATATAAATAAATTTAGCTATTATTTACATTTATATTATTTAAATATATAAATAGCATATTTATCCTATTTTTTATACATATTTTTACATTATTTAATACATAAATAATATATTTATATTATTATTTAAATAAATGTTAAACCGACTCAACTAACAAGCCGAGCTAACGAGACGAGCTTTACTATGTTTTGCTTATAAGCTGGGTTTTTGGCTTATTACAAAAAAATATGCAAAAAAAATAGAAAGGTGATTTGCCTCAAATAAGGCAATAAGTTAGCTTATAAGCTGATTCTCAAAAGAGACATAAGATTTTAATGAGCTCGATCTCAAAAGCAATAAAAATTTAACGAACCATGTTCGAATGAGTCTTTACTGAATTGAACTCGAGTCTATTCACGAACAGTTCTATTTATTTGCAATTCTAATGTAGAATAAATCCGAAGTCCCCATTTATATTTTTAAGTAATTTTTGAATAAAATTTTTATAATTGTATTTGTAGTATTACTACACAAAATAAGTGATTCCCCACTTTGAAATAATTTTTTGGTGAAAGTGAGGGAGTTTGAAAGAGTCAATGAATATACCTATATTCATTCCTTCAACAAAGACAGTGGAAGGAGAGTCTGAGAGTGAATGGGTGAATGTCATTATTAGTGCTTGCTTAGTCAGTGAATGAGAAGGTGAGTGTGAAACATCATTGGAGTCTTTGGCGGGCCCACCACTCCAATCAACAACAATTAGGCCACCTGTCTCTACTTTCACCCCATTCTTCTCTCTCTCTCTGTGCCAGTCCTCTCCCCTTTAACAGTATTTCCAAGTCAATTGCCGTGTCAAGAAGCCAAACCAACATGATCAACATCTGGAAAATTCTATGGTACTAGACTAGATGCTTAACGAACATTATACAAAGACTCTTGATGGGTTTATTTATTTATTTTTTATTTACTGCTAAATTGTGAATCTACAATGGTTGTTCCCTCCTCCATTTTGGCTTTCTTTGTCCTCTCTCACCTACAGTTTCTTCACTCTTTTGGAGAAGACAACAACTCATTCCAACACTGTCCAGAGTCCTTCCACTGTGGAAATCTTGGGGAAATCAGCTTCTCTTACTCCAACATCAGTTATCCCCATTGTGGGTTATGCACCGTAGATTGCAAGGGAAAAGCTCCAAAACTCAATTTCGGTGTTAATGATCAAATTTGGTATGAACTTCATGGCAAGCTTTCTAATGATGATGATCATATCCTAAATGTTACTGACAAAAATCTTGAAAGCCTCATAAAATCCAAAAGTTGTGACCTTTTTACTGTGAATTATGTAGTTTATATTATTCATTAAGGATAGTTTAGTACTTTAGGTTATTAGGATTTCATTCTATTGCTTATATATTTGTACTTCTTTTGATTAATCAATAGATACAAGTTTTGTCATCTGGTAACATATGAATTTTTCCAAGTATTCTACTTCTAAACAAGTTTGGGACTATTTGAAGACTATGTACCTTGAGTCTAACTTTGCAAAACAGTATGAACTTGAGATGTCTATTCGCAGTGCTAGTCAGAAAGATAAGTCCATTCAGGAGTTCTATAATGAGATGACTACTTATTGGGATCAGCTTGCTTTGATGGAACCGTCCGATTTACAGTTACTTGATAGTTATATCAAGTATCGAGAGAAACAACATCTTGATAATTTCTCATGGCCCTTCGTGATCAATTTGAGCCACTTCGGGGAGCTATTCTTCATCGGTCTCCCTTGCCTTCTGTGGATGGTGCTGTCCGTGAGCTTATTGCGGAAGAAATTCGGTTTAAGGTGGCTCATGGTACTCCTGCTTCCCAGTCAGTTTTTGCCACTCCTCCGCTCTTGCCCACCCCATCTTCTCATTTATTTCAAGTTACTGGTAAGCCCAAACCTCGGGTTTCCATGGATGAGTGCAGCTTCTGTCATCAGAAAGGCCATTGGAAACATGCATGTCCTAAACTTTTGTAGCCCAAGGGTCGTTCATCTGGTTCACCATTCGCTAAACAGACATTTTCAGGATCTCGCTCATCTGCCGCCTTTTCTGCACCAGTTTCTGAGAATGATCCATCTTCCAATATGCAGTCTATGTTTGTGCAGTTCAAGTCTTTCATGGTGGCCAATCCAAATCTTTCGTCCTAAGCCTCCGCTATGACTACCACTCAGTTCGGTTTGTCTGGTTCATCCTCTTCAGGTAATATCCATACTTTGTGGATCTTTGATTCTGGTTGTTCACATCATATGACCCCGGTTGCATCTTTCCTCAGTAATTGTGTCTCTCCTTCTTCTTCTAGCACTATTGCTACTGCTAATGGTTCTTCTATGCCTGTACACTCTGTTGGTTCTATTTCTTGTTCCCATTTGTCTCTTTCTCCTGTATTTTATGTGCCTAACCTCTCACTCAGTCTTATTTCTATTAGTCAATTATCTGATTCCGGTTTTGATGTTGTTTTCTCTTTTTCTCATTGTGTTGTACAGGACCGGGTATCCAAGAGGCAGATTGGGATCGGGCGTAGAGTTGGAGAACTATATATCTTGGACAGCTTACATATTCCTCTAAAAGTGTCTTCTACTGCATTGTCTTCTTTTTGTTTAAACAATAAGTCATCTTTGTTTTATATTTGGCATTCTAGGTTAGGTCATCTGTCGAGTGATCGGTTGATGATGTTAGTTAGGTCTGGACATTTAGGCAATTTTCCCATTAGTGATATTTCTGAGTATCGTGGTTGTAAACTGGCTAAAATGTCTGCTCTTCCTTTTAATAAAAGTAGTTCTATTTCATCTTCTCTTTTTCAATTGGTCCATACTGATGTTTAGTGTCCTTCCCCTATAGTTACCAAGGGTGGTTCGCAATATTATGTAGCTTTTGTGGATGATTACAGTCAGTTTACTTGGGTTTATTTAATGACTCGAAAATCTGATTTTTACAAAATATATTTTAATTTTCACTCCATGATTCGCACTCAATTTTCTACCACCATTAAAATTCTTCGTTCTGATTTGGGGGGTGAGTATTACTTGTCTGAATTTGAGGAGTATTTAGCTATTCATGGAACTATTCATCAGTCTTCGTGTTCTGACACTCCTGCACAAAATGGTCGAGCTGAGTGCAAATATCGCCATCTCCTTGATACAGCTCGCTCTTTGTTGTTCTCATCTTTTGTCCCTTCTGTTTTCTAGAGAGAAGCTGTGCTCACTGTTGCATATCTTCTCAGTCGGATGCCTACTCCTCTTCTCTCAGGCTCATCTCCGTATGAGCGTCTTTTTGGTGTTACTCCCAATTATTCTCTTCTTCGTATTTTTGGTTCTGCATGCTTTGTGCTCCTGCCTAAACGGGCGCGCTCTAAGCTTAGTTCTCGTTGTGTCCTATGTGTCTTTTTAGGGTATGGCATTAATCAGAAAGGTTATCGGTGCTATGATCCTGTCACCAAAAAGCTATATGTGTCTAGGCATGTCACTTTTTTAGAAAAACTATCCTACTACACTATACCTTCCACCCCTGTTCCTATTACTAAGGATGAATTGGTTCATGTTGACCCATTTCCTCCTAATGTTTCTCCTGATGAGTTTGTTTCTGACCTTGAGGTCTCTACTTTGCCTCTTACTAGCACTTCTAATACCTCTCCAGCTACCTTATCTCCAGCTCCCGCTTCTCCTGCTCCTCTTATTGTTTATCAACGCCGCAAAGCACTTCCGAGCTCACCTGTCTCTAGCTCTACTATCCCTCCAGCTGTTTCTTTGGATCCCGCTCCTCCTGCACATCGCTTCTCAAAGCGAGATCGTCATCCTCCGAACTGGTATGGTTTTGGTAATATATGTTTTTTCCTTTCCTATCAGTCTTTTCTTTCTTGTCTTCATACATGTTTTGAGCCTAGGTCTTACAAGGAAGCTTGTCATGATACCAATTGGATTGCCGCCATGAATGATGAGTTAACTGCTTTGGCTAATACTCAGACTTGGGATTTGGTTCCATTACCTGCTGATAAGAATGTTGTAGGCTGTAAATGGGTCTATAAGGTCAAAACCCTTTCTGATGGGTCTTTGGAACGGTACAAAGCTCGTCTAGTTGCCTAAGGCTTTTCTCAGGAGTATGGGATTGATTACGATGAGACTTTTGCCCCCGTTGCCAAGATGACTACTGTTCGTACTCTTATCTCTGTTGCCGCTGCCCATCATTGGCCCCTGTTTCAACTAGATGTCAAAAATGCTTTTCTGAATGGGCATCTTGTTGAAGAAGTGTATATGCGCCCTCCACCGGGTCTCTCTCACCCTCCTGGTGTTGTTTGTCGTCTTCGCCGTGTTCTATATGGTCTCAAGCAGTCTCCTCGTGCTTGGTATGAGCGATTTCACTCTGTTGCCCTTCAGCTTGGTTTTTGCCCTAGTCATCATGATTGTGCTCTCTTTGTTCGGCGCACTTCTGTTGGGCTTGTTCTCCTTCTCTTATATGTGGATGATATGATCATCACTGGCTCTGATTATAGTACTATTGAGGAGGTTAAGCATCAGTTGTTTCAGGAGTTCGAGATGAAGGATTTGGGGTTTCTTCGATATTTTCTTGGTATTGGGGTTGCTACTTCTCCTACTGGGTATCTTCTCTCTCAGACTAAATATGCCCGTGATATTCTTTCTCGTGCCAATCTCACTGATGAGAAAATTGTTGGCACTCCTCTTGAGTTGCATGCTAAGTTTTCTGCTTCTGATGGCGTTCCTCTTGAGGATCTCACTTTGTATCGCGAGTTGGTTGGGTGCCTTGTTTATCTCACCGTTACTCATCCGGATATCTCCTATGCTGTGCACATTCTCAGTCAGTTTGTTTCTGCTCCTCGTTCCACACACTGGGCTGCCTTACTTTGTACTTTGCGCTACCTTCGTGGCACTTTGTTGCAATGTTTACTGTTATCTACCTCTTCGGACTTGACTCTCCGTGCCTATGCTGACGCTGATTGGGCAGGTGACATCTCTGATCGCAAATCCATTTCTGGTCTTTGTGTTTCCCTTTGCGATTCCCTCATATCCTGGAAGAGTAAAAAATAGTCTGTCGTTGCTCGTTCCACTGCTGAGGCTAAGTATCGTGCCATGGCTCATGCTACTTCCGAGATCGTTTGGCTTCACTGGCTTCTTTCTGATATGGGTGTCTCTCTTTCTGATCCGACTCCGTTGTATTGTGATAATCAGAGTGCTGTCCAGATTACCCATAATTCCGTCTTTCATGAGCGGACCAAGCATGTTGAAATAGATTGTCACTTTGTCAGACAGCATCTTCAGGCTGGCACTATTACTCTCCATTTTGTTCCCTCATCTCTTTAGTTGGCTGATTTTTTTACGAAGACTCATACTGTTGCTCGTTTTCATTTTCTTCTTGGCAAACTTTCGATGCTTTCTGCGCTCGCATCCTCAGTTTGAGGGGGAGTGTGAATTATGTAGTTTATATTATTCATTAAGGATAGTATTATGTAGTTTATATTATTCATTAAGGATAGTTTAGTACTTTAGGTTATTAGGGTTTCATTCTATTGCTTATATATTTGTACTTCTTTTGATTAATCAATAGATACAAGTTTTGTCATCTGTTAACATTTACTTCCTACTTGAGTTGGACTCTTCCTACTACACCTTCTGTTTCTTTTACAGTCTCCTCCAATCTCACCTTCTTCAAATGCCCCACCAGCAGCAGTTCACTTGACTAGCGGATTGAGAAATTCTTTAGCCATAATCACAATTACAGGTATTACAAAAGCTGCTCAGGCTACACAGTTTACTATAAATACCCTGACGTTGCCCATCGATCTCTTCTTATTAATGAGAGAATTCTGCAAAGCAGTGTGCTTATTCAACTGCCAGTCTTTTCGTTGGACGATAGAAGGAAGCAAAATGTCAGAGATCTGTTCTCTGTATTGGATTCTAATTTTTCACTCAGATTTAATGTGTCAAAGGAATGTGGTGAGTGTCACGACCACGGAGGCCAATGTCCTCGATACAACAGCTCCAAGTTCCAATGCATTGAGCAAGTAAAACACGGTATTGGAATTTTTCTGCTGCATAAAGCATACTGTTATTTGTGATTTAATCCAAAATCTTCTATATGTAGAAGTCTGCTCCATATGGATTTTGGTTCATTACCTTGGCAGGTTTTGATTAATTACCTGTTTTCCTGTAGTTATAAGCTCAAGCATTCAGAATATGCTTAGTAAATTACTATGAATTGTTGTATGTGCCAAATTCAACTTGGATTATGCTTATTACTTGCTAGATATCTTTTTTTTTTTTAGGGGTAGGTAAGTGGGTTAGATGTAACAAAAAATATGCTTGATACACCCCTATCGGGGACAAGAAAGATGTCTGAGCAAGCCATTAAAACAGAGCATTCAAAACCTAGCACTGAAAAAAACTCTCACTGCTTAAGAGCTAGGCCAAAGAAACAAACAACATGCAAAGTTAGAGGGCAACGCCTTCTAATTATTTCATAGAAGGCATACGACTAGATTTCTTAGACTTGGTAGACAAATTAGCATTTTCTCTAGCAAGCTTAACCAATTCTCTCAAGGTGCTTCTTTTTGTTATCACCTCTTGAAGATGGGTTTGTCAATAGAACAATGAATGCTTCATTTGAAAGGGTCTGTGGAACCCCTTTAAGATGTTAAGATCGACGAATATCTAGCCCATTTTAATTACCCCATCTTCTTCAATTTCTCTCTTTTCATTTGAAACCTTCCCATTTGGATCCCCCTCATTTTGCATTTGTGTCTATATTGACCCTGTTTGGTATTATGCGGATCTTTGTATGTAAGGGATTAATTTTGAGTTCTAGGGTTTGTGATCTTGAGAACTTCTGTGCAGTGGGGGATTTTAGAGAGAGCCAACTCATTATGTTCTCTATTTTCATAGTAAAACGCTTTCATGTTCTTTGCCTATGGATCTAGACTAATAGTACCGCATAAATCTTTTGTATGCTCGTGTGCTTGTTCTGTTTATTACTTCTCAATTTTTGATTTCATCTTAACAAATTGCTTGATGTTTTTCTCTTTGGCATTATTTATAGGAACAAATCACCTGATATTGATTCTAGCAACAGGTAATATACCTCTAAGCAGTATCTATAAGCATGAATAAATGAATAAATTTAGATGCATCTATATTGCAAAAATACGTCAAATGTTATTTTTTTCCTTTCTTCTTTCTTTTCATGTGCAATCTTCATTACGTACCTGTTCTCCCATTTAAAAATTCATTACACCGTCTTCAGTCAATCCTTTTTTTTTTTTTTTTTGCATTCATGAATATGTATGAGTGAATCAAAACTAACTAACCTTTATTTTCTTCAGTATTATCGGGAGGCAGTATATTTCTGCTTTGCTTGCTCATAGTTATTACCCGACTTCGCAAGGAAACGAATTATAATTCTTCATACATCTCTTCAAGGGACAATTTTTCTAATCGCTCCCTGCAAGCAGGCACTGAAGGAGGTAGTGTCTAATTTGGGGTCTCTGTCTTCTCCTACACTGAACTTGAAGAAGCCACGCATAACTTTGATCCTACTGAAGAATTGGGAGATGGAGGTTTTGGCACTGTATACCATGGTAAGATGGTTCGAAGTTCTAAATATCAATTAGAATGTTAAGACTTTGTTTGGATCTTGAATTTGTGGAAATAGAAGAAAAGAAAAAAGAGATGTGTTTACCATTAACATAAATGTTTGCTTAAATGTTTTACTATTAACATATTTATAGTGGCATATTCTCTATTCATACAATTCACATTTCTTTTCTTTTTTTCTTTATTTATACAAATTCAAAATCTAAACACAACAAAATGTTTTTACCATTAACATATTTATGGTGACATATTCAATTTTTCTATAATTCATTCATATAAAATGGCATAATCTTTGGTCTTTTCTCAACCAGGAAAACTCCAGGATGGGTGGGAAGTTGCAGTGAAGCGCCTGTATGAGCACAACTGCAAGCGGGTGAGGCAGTTCATGAATGAAATCCAGATACTAACCTCCTTGAGGCACCCCAATCTTGTCACGCTTTATGGTTGCACCTCACGCTTGAGCCAGGAACTGCTCCTTGTCTACGAGTATATTCCCAATGGTACCGTTGCTGATCATCTACATGGCGATCGAGCAAATGTTGGTTCACTCACATGGCCTATTCGTATGAACATAGCCATAGAAACCGCCAGTGCATTGGCTTACCTCCATGCTTCTGATATCATCCATCGCGATATCAAGACCAATAACATACTCCTTGACAATAATTTTTGCGTCAAAGTTGCTGATTTTGGGCTTTCAAGAATTTTCCCCAATGATGTCACTCATGTCTCAACGGCCCCCCAAGGGACTCCCGGTTATGTTGATCCAGAGTACCACCAATGCTACCAACTCACTGATAAGAATGATGTCTATAGCTTTGGGGTTGTGCTCGTAGAGCTCATATCATCAATGCCATCCATTGACATTACTAGGCATAAGCAAGATATTAATTTGTCTGTCTTAGCGATAAACAGAATCCAAAATAGTACCCTAGATGAGTTAGTTGATCCAACTCTTGGGTTTAAGTCAGATTCTTCAATTGAAAGGACGATTACATCAGTGGCAGAGGTGGCTTTTAGATGCTTGCAACTTGACAATGTCGGGGCATTAACAAGTGCACAATCACCTTCTTCGCCTAAGAGAGATGATGTTGTGTTGTTGAAGAAAATAAAGTCACTATCTTCACCGGATTTCATGAGCAACAAATGGGTTAGTAGCTCTACCACATCCATTTCCAGTGGGTAAGGCTCCATTTCACTCTCCTAAACTTCAAGATAGATGATAAGAAAATGCATATAACAACCGTATAGTTTGCGAGTGAATGGTTTTTGAATTTCTTTCCTTTTCATCTGCTTGCCTTTGTTACTGATATATATATATATATATATATATCAGAGAATTATATTGAGGGAGGAATGTACATAGTAAATGGAGATCTCAATTGTATATATGTTCGTATTTGGATATATTTGAAGTATATAGTAAATGGAGCTATACTTTTCTAGGAATTATATGATCTTTTTCTTTTCTTTTCTTTTCTTTTTTTCTTATGGGTAAAGAGAAATGGATGAATAAAAGAAGAAAAATACTAAATTTCAATTACCACATACTTCAAAATGGTTCAGTAGAAGATATTTTAAATGAAAATTAGATACATTTCTTTCCTTAAACTAACAATAACTGAAATTTTGGGGAAGTATGTGGGATGCATTTTTTACTTGATGAGATTTCATTTTTGAGAAGTATTGGGAGTGGCTTCTAGACTGCCACGGTTTCACTGTTACCATGGGTTCAATTGGAATAGTTTAGCTACATGACAACATCTTTAAGACTTTTTGGAATTACAAATGATTAGAAAGACAATCAAGAGTGACTAAAGTTGCTAAATGATAGTGTACATCTAAATCTGTTGTTACGTCAAATCAATTTCCTCTAAGATCATGTTTGATTCACAAGACTAATAGTGAAGTATTAATAATCCTATTAAATTAGTGTGGTATTCACTATCCAATTGGATTAATATCCATTGGATTAATAATCCTACCCTTACTCCATTACTAATAATCCTACAAATTTATTGGATTAATTATCCATCAGATTAATAATCCTAAACCAAAATGTTAAAATAAACATAGGATAATTGGACCTACGAATTAATAATCTCAATCCCATACTCTAATCCTCCCAATCAAACATGCCCTAAGTGTATAAGTGACTCTTAAAATGTAAACTAAATCCTTGGAAAAGTAAAGAGGTGGGGCTGATGAGGAGAGGAGGGGAGGGGTTGAGGAGTCACATAAATGGGGTGGAGGCGTCCGTGGAGGAGGAAGGGGTAGGGGAGAGGCTTTTTAAAAAAGCATGCACACCACCTGCTTATTTTGGTTGATCTGTAGCCCAAAGGCCAAAACTAAGGGTCATTATTTAGCCCAATAGCTCATGGCTGGGCAGGCCCACCTATGAGAGGTGGCCTATTGGGTTGCCAATCAAACCGGCCCATGAGTTCATCAAAAATTATGAAAAAAAAAATAGTAATAAAATTTTTAAAAAATCCAAAAAACAATAGGCGTTACATCTCGACTATGAAATGTGACCTGTTAGCGCAGCTTTGTTTGTTTATCGGGAAATGCTTCTTAAATCGGTCGCCTAAGCTATACCCACCTATGCAATGGCTTGCTTTCTATTTCCTAAGAAGCTCTGTGTTGATTTAAACTCTTTGTTGAGCAACTTTTGGTGGAAAGGAGACCTTGAGAGTAGAAGTATCATTGGGCCTTGTAAGATAAATTGATAGAGAGAAAATAGATTGTATGTATATATTGATGTTTTGTTATGTTTACAATGATCAAATATATAGAAGAGAAGAAGGTAGTAGATGAAGTGGTAGGGGATGAAGTGGAGGTGGTAGTGGTAGGTTAGGTGAGGAGGTGAGTGTGTGTGGTAGGTAGTAGTGGGTTAGGTTTAGTGGGTTTAACAGGCCTCATGGGAGAAGACGTCCATGTCAAAGCTTTAAGGAGGGATGGGGTTTCGGGATTTTCGTACTGTCAACAAAGCTTTGTTAGCCCGACTGGGATGGTGGTTGTGCAAATACCCTAATTCCTTTTGTGCTCAATTTCTTATGGGTCTGTATTTTCCAAATATGGACTTTTGGAATGCTAAGAAAGGGGCTAGGGCATCATGGACTTGGGTAAGTATTTTGAAGGGTCGCAAGGTGCTTAATCAGAGGGTCCGTTGGCAGGTCAACAATGGAAAGCCCATCAAGTTCTGGGAAGACAAGTGGGTTGCTTCTTCAAAAAATTTCCGAGTGAAATCCTATAAACCTAGCGGATGCAATCTGTCTATAGTTAGTGAAGCCATCAACTCTACCTCCAAATGTTGGAATAAAACCGTGTTGCATAGTTTGGTCTCTCATGAAGAGGTAGAAGAGACTTGTTCGATTCCCATTGCGACTGAAGACCAAATGATCGACTTATTTGGCACCATGATCCGAAGGGTACTTCTTCAGTCAAGTCAGGGTACAGAGTGGAAATTGAATATCAACAGCATCAAGCTGGAGACTGGCCGTCCTCCTCTTTTCAGGTTCCCGAACATGTGTGGAAATTCATGTGGACACTCCCGATTTCCCCTAAATTTCAGCATTTCTAGTGGCGCGCTTGTAACAATCTGTTGGCTAGGAAGTGTAATCTCTCTTTCTTGTGGACTCCTCGTGAGGCCAATGGTGTTGCCCATTGGACTGCCGAGGCTTTTCTTAATGGTGTTCTTTCCTTTAATTGGGTTTGTAATCCTACCGAAGGGCTGCGTAAGGCTATAGCTTTGGCTGTGTAATCTAATTTTGATGTTCAAAAAAAAAAAAAAATTCAGGGATTTCAAATATTCGATTAATTTAATTTTTTAAATAGATGATATATTCAACAAACTTTATACTATAAATATTTCAAATCATTAAAATAGATCCAGAATAATATCCTGCGGAGGATCACAGTAACCCTAGTTCTAACCAGGCCAAGTACTGGGCTATTAATTTTACAATACTAGGACCTTAGAAAAAAGTATTGTAAAATTATTTAAAAACGTGCATCTATGGATTACAATTTAGGTGAGTTTGTCATAAAATTAAAAAATATATATATTTTTTAATCAAATTGTCTTTAGTGAATTTTAATAAAAAATTATGTCAATTTTTTTTTTTTTTCAAGTGTGTCCTGTGCAGACGAAGGTAAGAAATAAAAAATAAAATTGATAAGTCCAAAGAAAGTTAATTAAAAACAAAAAAGCTAACTATTTTCTTTTTGTCATTTTTTTTCAATTTTTTGATTTTTTAATTTTTTTTTGATATGTGTAGTCAAATATAACTCAAATGTGTGACTTTTTTGAATTTTTTTTGTTACAAAAAGTTCATTAAGAACAAAAATAAATAAATAATAAAAAGGTCAATAAAAAATTTGACGTAAATCAAAATACCAGAGTTTAGGTTTGCAATGATACATCCATGAAACACTACATTTTCTTTGGTCCAAAAAAAAAAAATCTCATTTCCAATTTGATAATACAATAGTATTCTTCTTGTGAACCACAAGTTACTCCATCACATGTTGCAAGTCATTTTCTGTGACCCTACCTTTTCTTACCTTTCTCACCCATATTTTTTCTCTACCCCGTATTTCACACGTTTGACATCGTTTTCATTTATGTTTTGTCTTTTTTTTTTTTAATTTAAAAAAAAAATAGAAAATTGGCACACAACAATTTGTTTGACAAATTGTTTCTGAAAATTCTTCCCTAGAAACGTGTGAAAAAAAATAAAAAGTCACACAAAAAACTTTATTTAACAAACTATTTTTGAAAATTAACTCAGTTCGATTTGGAATTTTCGAAAATAGTTTACTAAATTTTTAATTCGTATTTTTTGTTTTCAGTGATTCATTTTATAATTTTTTAATCTATTTTTGTTTTAATTTTTTATATTCACTTAATCTAGGATACACTTAGAAAGTATAAAAATTTGTGAACAAATTTTTCAACAATTCATTGTATACAAAAAGGATAAAAAATTAATATATTTTTGTATTTTGTCGTATTCAATAAATTTTTAAATTTTTTTTGTACAAATTATATAATTTTTAAGTTTGCCTATATTAAGTGAATCTAAAAAGTTTTAAAAAATAATTAAAATATTAAAAAATATATAAATTCAAAATTCAAAAAATTATTTTTAAAAATTTCAAGCCAAACAAATTATTTTTGGGAAATATCTTTTAAGTTAAGTTGTTTTTGTTAAATATAAAACATGGCCATCGGTGGGACGTCTTGTGAAGAAATGTCCAAATTCAAGTGAGTTATATGGTTCCAAATTCCCATCTATTTGTTGTTCCTGTAGCAACTCTTTTGGATGGACACAACCTTTACAAAATGGTGAATAAAAACCTATGGACACAACATTAGTTAGATTTTCTATTTTTGTATTTTTTTATTATAATGATGAAAATTAAATATAATAAATATAATTAATATACGTGAATAACTAATTTTTAATGAAATGTAAAATTTTAACCAATCAAAATAACCATGGTGGTTAAATCAAATGTTTAAAAAAGAGAAAAAAAAATTTGACATATTTAAAACATGATGGATTCAAGTCACCCAGAGCCCACTCACTGGGATAAAAAAAATGTAATTTTTAAAAATGATCTATTTTCATTTCCATTAGTGACTTTGAAAGGTATTAAGGATTTTGGGTGAGGTGACAAAGAGAGAAAGACTCCAATAAAGACTTGGCTCATTAAATATCACACAATATCTACTCTTAAGGTTGAGTTTGGTTATGATGAAAATAATAGAAAGTGAAAGAAATGAAAATAAAAAATAAAGTTTTTTTTTTTAAGTTTGTTTAGTATGAAAGTGATAAAAGTTATATGAAAATTGAATTTTTTTTTACAACTGATAATAGTATGGTAACTAAACTTTCAGTTTCTTACAAAAAATACAAGAAAGTTTAAATTTATTATAAAAGTAGTTACTTATAATTAGAATTTATATTTTCTTGCAAAATTTTCATCCTAATCAAATTCATATGAGAATATATTTTCTTTTCTTTTACTTTACTTTTTACCATTTTCACTTTTCATCATTTATTTCTTTCTAATCAAATGAAACCTAATAGTTTATTAAAATTAGAAAAATGATATACAAGTTTATTTTTTAAACCTACTTTTTAGACCCAATAATGTGTAAGTAAGACGATTGGTTAATAATAAAAAAAGATATAACTAAGAGAATTACTTTAGATATTCTAATAGTCTACCTCATCATTGAGTTTGAAAAATAAATCTTGTTTTTAGATCTAAGTAACATCACTATTAAAATTATTAGAGACATCCAATTTAAACTAATTGATAATGAGTAAAGTTGCTTCTAGACTATATGAACTAAATTTGATTGACCTAAAGA